GTCAAGCAACAAGATATCTCTAATATTGATCCGTGAGCATGTGAATTCCATCGAAACACTCAACAAAATACTCTGATCTATAGATTCAGTTTATACAATGGAGGTTAACCAGTTGTATGATCAGAGATTAAATTAGTGGAACAATCAACCTGGATACTTTTAAGGACAATTAGACAAGGTCATTAGAATGAACTAATTTAACATTTATGGAGAAAAAGACTCAATAACCCTGTTTTTGGTTGTAATTAACAATGATACCTGAATAGATAATGGTGGGAGCTTCATAATAAAAGCATATAGGTCAGACAGAAAACTACTCTTGACCACCACTCTCGATATTATGGTTTTTGCCATACCATAAAATACGACGTATGTTATCATCAATATAAAAACATAAAAATACTTACCGATATATAAAATAATTAGTTAAGTGTTCAGCTAATGAAGGTGATTTTTCATAGAGAGAAACAAGTTGTAATAAGTAAAAGTCTACATCAGATTCTGGAAAACCAAATAATCGATCAGCTGTTAATAAAGTGAAGGAAAATGAATAAAAACCACATATATATGAACTGATCAACAGCTGAACTCTTTTTCATATACACTAGAATATACATTGAAACCTTTAATGGATAATTGTAATAGTATTTCATTGTTTTGGTAATGAAAGTATATATATATATATAGATAGAGATACGTATTCTTGTATTTCGGGTTTGACAAGCGTATATTCTAGACTAATGAAGAGATTTGACACTCTAGTGTACAACATTCTCATCATTTGTATGTTTTATTCATCAAAACTTAAAGTTATTTCTAATACTTAACTCGTTTGAATAGTAGATGGTGTGGTAATAATGAAGAATAGATAATTTGTCAAGTGGATTTTTATCAGCAAGGCTTGAATTATACCTCATTGCCCAAACTGAAATAGATTGAGCGGGATGAGAACCTGCAACCTAGTAATTAAAAGCCAATTGCTGTAATCACACAAGCGACAATCCTTTGATTTACAAATCATTATGAAACAATCAGCCTCAACATATAGTTTAAAACAAAATGATCATTGGGCAGTTAACATAACTGAGAAATAAATAGATTGTCATTATAAATTCAGTTATTGGATCATGAATCGATCTAAGTTAGACATCAATTGGAAACCTATGGTCACTGGATGGTTGCCACGTGGAGTGGTGACTTATTGGTCAGGGTCCTTGGCTTTCGATCAGAAAGACACTGGTTTGGGCTCCACTCCATCAACTTCCGTTAGGGTAACCGGGTAGTCATTAGCCCTTGAACTTTTAATGTGGCCTATACCCAAGTGCTTAATAATTGAGTTTTTCAGTGTTTCCACGAACCTACTACTGATTATCAATAAATCAAACTTACCCAAATACATTTGTACATTCACATCCTCTGATTTAAATAAATATTGAATTGTCATATCTAAATTAAATAAGCTTGACGTAAATAGACGTCGCAACCAAGATGATGAATTTGAATCATTGAGTATACCGCATTCATCTACAATAACAATGATAATAATAGATATTTAGAGAATATTTATGCTAATATTTTATGAATATTTAAAATACTTCTATTTTCACTGTTTTTGTCAGTTGAAAGAACTCTGAATCGTCATTTAGGTAAACGGTCACGAAAACTTTGAAACAACTTCACACAATCTAGTTGGAGAAGCCGAGTAACATAATTAGCTCTAACAAAACGGCTGTGGTTTAGTAGGATCAAGAAACATTTTAGTTATTAAGTGAAACGGAATGTCATGTTTGTTATTTAAGTGGTGAGGAAATTTTAAAGCATGAATATATATGAAGTATTAGTAGTCCGGCCACTAAACAGTGATGGTTGATTTTGGTAAAAGGTATGAAGTATCACAATATAACTGAACCCGAACTTGTAGAAAACTTGAAGACATTTTTAGACAACAGTCAGGATTACTTAAATCAATTGAAACAGATAGACAGTACAAGAAAGGCACATTACTTATACTTTTAATAATACACACGGACAGTACTGAAGAATTAGAAAACACAAAAAGAAGTTGGTCTGTATGCTTAATAACTATTGCAGGACAATTTCATTGTAATGGTTCGACGGACATGTATATGGTGAACAGAACTAGCATCCTATGATCGTCTATATGCTAAATGACGCGTAATCATGTTTACTTATGTTTGATATTTTGTACCTAAGTGTTACTTGATCGAAGAAATCTGTTTTGCTGGGCAGGCAAATCACCTTGATGGTTAATGTTAATAATCCGGTCTCGTCATCAGCTGTTAGTCCCATTTTACCCCCATATATCACCATTCTGTCACCATTTTATTCATTATTTCAACAACCAAAACTTGTCGGTGAATTTGAAACTCAACCTCTACAATATTTTATTTGCCAAGAGTGATCTTAAATAAGTTAAATCATAAAGATTTGGTGAATAAACCAGACTGGAAAATACAGAAGTTAAGAAACTAACTCCGAAGTAATGGTCTACGTAGACTCCAGAACAAATGACACCAACCACAGCATAGATGCAGCTCTTGATTTTGCTTTAATAACGACTTTCAGGCTAAAAGTTCGGGTCAAATTCAATGTCGTGTAATTTACTACCAGAGTACATATCCATGTCCTTAAATATAAGCCGAAATTCTTTTGAAATCGACTAAAAGTGCAAAGGAAAACCTAATTCGACCTGTTTATTCATGAAGTATCATAGGCCATACAAAAACTCTAACCCCAAATAATATTAGAGGAGCTCCTAAAACAGACTCATAGTGTCAGATTAGATTTTTATAAGGGAGTTAGTTTCGCATGTTTGTGATATTTCTATACATGCAATAAATGATTCTCTTCGCCTTAATTTTATACGTGAACTCCTTACAGTAGTTCGTTTCTTCTACACGTTTCGATATGTGCAGATAGCATTAGGTTCCTAAGTGGTTGATTCTGAAGAGCCGTATATCGACGTGAAACAAACTTGAATTAATGCATACCAAAACGAATTGAACAGCTTTATAGTTGGCAACTTTGTGACAACAAATGCCCTGGTACGGTCGAAAGTGGGGACAGTCAGCTCTACATCTCCAAATGCTCTTACATGGCCACGTGTATACAACCACTGACAGTAAATTCCTACTAACTACCTCGCGGAGAGGGTGTTGTTTATGAAATCGAGAGGAAGAAAAGAGAATGTCCGGCACATTACAGTATTCACTGCCCAATTGCAAGTTTGGAAAAATTGGGGACATAAAAAACACATGATCACTTTAGTAATAGACATACGCTTGTCCTACTTCATAAAACATGAAACGAAAAACATTCATCATTCTAGAAAATTTTTATCGTATACCAACTTTTTACTAGCATAAATACATGAAAATGAAAATGTGGTCAGTAAACAATGTAGCAATGTGAAACGAAAATATATTTTATTTCCGAACCCACTAAAAATCACGTAAGAGCCCCGAATCCAATTGACTTATTTGTACCGACAATCTCTTAATGAACTCTAATAACAACTAAAAGATACATGATTATGAATACCTCTAAAATATCGGAGGTACGCTCGTATTGGTGAGTGACCACATGGAGTGCTAGAGTAACCGTATTACCAAATATACATCACGCGTACGTATGACGTTTAGCTAATGTAAAATGAAACCCATAAAAAAAAGACGAAACCATAAAAACACCGGGTTTGAGAAACGTTAGTATAGGTATAACATACCGAAGACCTTGAGCGGTGTCAGCCAATCAGGAGACGGGGCATAGTTACAAAGAATTGACAACAAAAAGCAACATTACAACGCTGGAATAATAACTCTGATCTTAATAACCGACCCTCATGTCGAAAAGCTTTTGGCAGTAAAAGAAAAAGGATATGTTTCGTAGAATAGGATTAGGAATAGAGTTGTGAGTAAGGATTAGCACCCCATGGGGTTTTCGTCACCAATTAACACGAGACAATGAAAAAAACTTAGGATAAAGTATAACGAGTTAAACTGGAGGTATAAAATAGTTTCGCACCTTGGGGTAAAAGTTCTCATCACGAACTGATATCATTGGTAATCCCATGCATTGTCAACCCTATGTTTACAAACTTAAGAATCTTGAAATTGGGATGCAAAGTATTGGGGTAGAGAAATACTATTTAGCTTCATGAATCAAAACTGACTACGTATTGAATCACATCAAACACTGTACCGCACATTCAAGCTTGAAGATAAGTATATATTGTAATTCAGCTTAAGCACGATTTCAAATCTACTTCCAATATTTGTTTTGTTCACCACAACATAAAATTTATCTATCATTGCGCTTCAAATTTTGCGCGGAACACATGACGCATCACTGTAAATCTGGTTTGTTAACTAGAATCCGCCTGTATGTTATAGTTTTACCAAAATGTCTATATTAATCGGTGCAACTAACTTACTTTTATTGTCGTGACAACAACAAGTGACGTCCTCCATATTTGGATTGTTGTTATTAGAACGGTCATCGTCAGAAGATGCTTTATCATTGACTACATGTTGCGATTCTTGGACAGGAACTATACACTCTTCAAGTTTCAATGCATTCGAACCAGATGGGTCCAGAATAGAAGCCTCAGAATCTGCTTTTTCTGAAAACTGATCTGAGTTGTTTATTCTACATGCACTTCCGAGTCGGTATTCCGAAATGTCTGGCATTGACAGATAATAAGTGAGATAATGTCGATGTTTTCAAAGTTAACAATGATAACACACGATGAATAATGCTACTATGTAGTTACTGCCTGGTAATAACTGTGATAAAACATGATAAATATGACATTCGAATGACGATAGCATAATACAACCACAGAAATAATAGACAATAGTTCGGTAATTAGTCTTCAAACAACCCACGCTTAGTGTAGCCTTGAAGTTTTTCTTGTGTTTCGACCAAACATCGGTTCACAGTAAATTGAATATTTTGGTGGCTGTTTTGAAATTTCAGGGATGTCGTTAGAATACGCTCGCGTTGGTAATATTGAAGATATCACGTCAAGTAGCTTCATTTCCACACATTAACTTACATCTAGTCGGTTCAACCACCAGCTTTCTACAGGCCACAGCAGCTGAGGTTAGATCAACACGAGTAAACTGGCAATCTTACCTTCAGTAAGTTCTTAGATGTGTGGATGTACAACTTGGTTTCAGAGGACAAATAATTAATGATGAGCAGTATTCATTCATAACACGACTTGATAATGCTCCCACTGCGGAAGCACGAAATCATGTAATAAGGGCTGATGAAAACATGGTAAGTGGGCTTTTCAGCCCTTATTGTTCGAAAGACCGCTAGGGTTTTTATATTTATCCTAAATAAAATCTCGAAAGAACAAACATTACGATATATCCTTACACTTATTGATGATATGCTTCAGGTATGTTGTTACTTCACCAGCCATTGAGTTTTAGGAAGATAAATTACGTGTTGAAATCTTTCGTGATTACTTCTCCAAGTCAAAAGAGTCACTTTGGTCTCATTTTTTCGGATTTTTCCAAAGAGGGGATCCTTTCTGTATGTACCAAGCTTCCCGGATAATTGCAAAGTTTGCATGTTGGTCTTCCCAACTTATGGAGGAAAATGACTTGATTTATTATTTAAATTGGCTACGTGAACAACTGACAATAACCGTAAGTTTCTTTTCACTTTAGAGAGTGTCAGGTGTACACAATATTTCGCTCTAAAACTTAAGCTAATTTTTGACTTTTCAGCTCGTCTATAAGTATTCGTCACTTGCTCCCGTAGTTCCGTTTAGACTGCACCATAGAATCTGGTATATAAATCTATAATCCAAGTTATCAAAGCTATTATACATCAGGTTAAAACTTACACTTTGAGAATATAAGTTCAGGAACCTGTGTTATTCCTATTCTAGGAAGTCTGTTTTTGTCTAACCTCCTGAATAAGTGATTGAAAGTCTGGAAACCACTTCTGGTTGTATGTTCCGACAGTTAATCACGTGGTTGGAAAACCTGTGTATCATGAGAACTTATGGTCATGACAAGCCATCAGTTTTTGTGTAGAATAATTAAAAATTACTGAACGTAAGGGTCTATGATGCATTTGTACCAAAAACCTCATATTGGTGCAGTTTTACAAATCGTTCATTACCATAATCTCTGAAACAAACATTTAGACTATTCGTTTATTTACCTCCTATCATCGATCACAACAAAACAGTAGTCTTGTAGTCTCCTTATTTTTAAGTTTTTATCTTAATTCCTCCTTCAGTAATACTTTATTATTGTTACTTAAATTCATAAACATTGGTGCAAGGAGGCACCAGATAGATATGAGCCAAATAAATCATTCGATTTATTTGAGGACTGGGATACTGCCCGGGTGCCCAAACCGGATCAGCTAATTTTTTTAGGGGACCACACCTCGAGACTTCGATCTGAAGTTCTGATTCACAAGAGAGTGGAGTAACGTCAGGAGATGCAGTCTCATGGTAGTCGGTGACTAGCAATAGGTCCATACGCTATTTGCTCCCTCAGGATACTGGAGTCCGTGTGCACCATTGGTTTGGAATCTAGGTTTTCCAACTTCCCTAGGTGGATCCTCTGTATCCATCAACCCGGTTAGTGTGCCAGACATTCGCTTTTCTTCCTCTCAATTTCCTAAACAACACCCGTAGTGCGAGATGATAATGAGTATGACTTCCGTGTCAGTGGATGTATGCACGTGGTCACTTGAGAGCATTTGAAAAGGAAAAGCTGACTCTCCCCACTCTCGACCGTACAGGGCACTGGGGGGCAGTGATAGTTTAAAGGCAGGTTGTATCTGTTTGTTGCAGATAGAGGAGGATGTATCCATCGTAATGTACATTGTACATTTATGTTCATGTTTCGTGCCACGCAACACCCACTTCGATTCTAACAGTCAGGTAGTTTCACTAACCGTATAGCCAACAGTTGGACCCAAAGCCAAGATAATCCTGTACATTGTAAATAATTCGCGTCGTTTCGTGTTTTATATTCATCGTTACATATTAAATTAAAATCCTTTCTGACTACCGGATTGAGCTAATGGTTGTTTTTCTTATTCTTTACAGAATAATCAGTATGATCAAACTGTGGCTCGAAATCTTCAAATGATGCTTCGTATCAGAGAGTACCGTGCTCAATTCGCTAAAGTCGGAGGAATTGAGACGTGCGTTTGTGTTTCATTCTTTGTTACTGCTTGTATGAAAAATGTTCTATTTCTTATATGTTTCCTGAGTTTTATTCTACAGAAAGACGAGCTTTCTAGGAAGTTTTTGAATGTATTTAATCTGTTTAATGGTTAATTACTATGTTAAATGCACTTAACTTTTAACCAGTAAGCTCCAAGTTTGAATCTTTTTTCATCTACTTCGGCCTGGATACGTTCGTAATTACACTGTCCCTCACACAGCATAGCTTAAAGCCAAGTCTGTTTATGGCGAAGTAACAACGTCTTCCAGATCAGAAACTTGTTAACAGTACTTTAAGATAATTCATTTCGTTTAAAAGTACACATGTTTAAGGTTTTAAGTAGCTAAAATAAATGTTTTGGTCTCTTGCAAACCAGTATACAACTACCTGAAAACTATCCATGTATTTTTGGATTTGAATCTTTCACTCATCATTTCGGACTTCTCGAACATCCGCAGTTGCATCATAAACTTAAAACCAATTCTGTTGTATGGACTGCCTGTTATCCTTCATCTTAACACAGCTGGTTCGGGTTGAAATGTGATACGTTAACCTTGTTTTTATCTCTGAATTCGATATTATCTTCATTTTAGTAAAAGTAATTGAGATTATCTTTGCTTATCTAAATGTTTCTGCATCTATCTGCGATCCAATAACGTTTCCTGAGTCCTACTCGATACCTCTACTTCCCATGGATTGTTTTTATATCAGCTATAGGTGTTAACAGGTCATGTTTTGGTTCTTCGTGGATTTCAGCTAGTTGATATTCTCTAGTGATCTCATTTAAACTATTATCTTGTTTCTACTGGATTCTAACTGTCTAGTGATCAACTTTGTATTTCGTAGCATCCTAACTAAGATTGGTTGGGACGTTTATTAAAATCCTGCCATGCTATATGGGTCACTTGACGATTACTAAGATCAAAGGCAGCAATTTTCAGATCAACGGGCTTAGTTTCACTGCCTGCTTCATTAGTTTTAGTTATGCCGCACAAACGGCTAATATTATCAGTAGTTATGTCCTATCACAAATAAAAGGTGATTTAGGAAAAGGACGGCTGTTAAATATCCTTTCTTTGATTCACTTATTTTTGGAGTTGTCAGCAAGTTTTCAAAGTGTGAATCTAGTACAATAAAGACACCCAAAACAAGCGATAATCAAGTGCATCACCACGTCATTTACTTTGAAAGTGTTGTTACTTCTGGAAGGAGGTAAAAATCAAGCTCAAGTTTCCCCATTTCACTCTACCTGTGTTCTAAATGAAATGTCCACCTACATACTAAATTGTGTACTTTGTTTAAGAGTTTTCTATGAAAGTAGAAAGCATTGATCGTTTGCTAGTTATTTAATTCATACATATCTTTGGGTGATTCTATGCGCTTGATGGTATGATGTATTAAATATTGAGGAGTCTAGGTGTATATTGCTAACTAGATATGTCAACTCAATAGATAATCACGTTTGTATTTGGTTAGTGAGTTGTATCAACTACATAACTGAACTGATTATTGTTACTAATTAAAATGCCTTACGTTATTTGTAGAAGTTATCCTGTCATATTTGAAACTAAGAGCAATTGCTTAAAAGTAGTTTTTTGATTTCTCACTGAATTATTTCCTGACTATTGCGATGTGTGTTTTTTTCAGTTATAATAACCACTAACCCGTTTCTTGTATACACTTTACGACCATTTTTCCCTGTATATATCTTACTAAGATATTTTACTATCTCATCCAAAACGTAGCATCAGTCCTTGAAGTCACTAACTTCTGGTTTGAGCCATGTTGGTAGATGCACACGACGTGGTTGGGGTACGTGTGACTATCGTGACCAATGATTGGAGACTCTTGGTGACATGGCTCAGAATCGATCACAATGGTGTAGGTGTATACACTGTCTTCCCTTAAACTGTGAAATTAAAATCGCTTCATATCTTTCTACCAACTAATTCTTTCTTCCTGTACTGTATCTTTATATACAATCTTTCTTTTAGATATTACCACCACTGAATTAACTACTTGTATGAATTCCGTATTCATCTTGTTGTGCTAATGGTGTATGGCAACTTGGACCGATGCATATATGTACCTGGTCCTACGTTGTAGCTGACTGACTAACTATCTCATTTACCCTTCTTTTCCATCGAATATACCCCTGTAAACTCTCGTTTTGAATTCGCACAATTAAGTCCATTTTCATCATTGTTTAGTATTAATTATTTTGATTAGATTTGTCTTTCTCATTTATAAAGCATTGGAGATGTTTTACAAGAAAAATCAACTAGTCGTCAGTTACAATATCAGTTAATTTTTTGCTTATGGTGTATGAGTTTTGATTCAATTCATGTAACTGATATATGTAAGAATTCTGCATTATTGGCTACTGTAGCTGATATTTTCCTTGAAGCAGATCGAGAAAAAATCACTAGAATTTCATTGGCATTCTTTCGTGTAAGTTAGTTGATTCTGATTAATTTATAGTATCTTATTGTTGCTATGTAGTTTATTTCTATGCTTTATAAGTGTGTTCCTCCGAATGACGTCATCAGTGCAAACTTCAGGTAGAAGTTTGTATAGTTTGTTCTGTTGTTCAGAAGAACGATGAAAGCTCTACAACCAAACCAACTAGCTCAGAGAACAAAACTCCATCAAAAACATAAACACCCTTTTTTGTTAAAACCTAAATAAATTCTAGGCTTTATTTTGTGATGTATGCTTCAAAATGTTTTTTTCGTACAAAATCATGCTTCTCTTACAATTCTTCTATCGTAGCTGACAAAATTCGCTTTTATTAAAAAGCAAATATTACTATACGGAAATTAGATTAACGAACTAATACACAGAAATCTCACAGTATAATTGCTTAGAGTTACCATTTATTTATTTAAATACATAAATGTTGCTACAAACAGGCAACAAATATATATGCGCCACATAAATCATTCGATTTGTGTGAGGGCTGCAGTACTGCTCGGTCGCCCATACCGAAGCACGTGGTTTTCTTAGGTGGCCACTTACCGAGCCTTTGACTCAAAGGTCCAATCCACAGGGCGGTGGAGCAATGTTAGGAGATGCAGTCCCATGGTAGTTGGTGACCAACAGTGAATTGATATGCCATTTGTTCCCTCAGGATCCTGTAGTCCATGTGTAGTATTGGTTTGTAATCAGGGTATTCCAACTATAGTAGATCGGTCCTACGTGTCCACCAACCCAGCTAAAGCTCCGGACATTCGCTTTTCGTTCTCCATTTCGTAAACAACACCCGTGGTGCGAGAAGGCGTTGAGTAGGACTTCCTTGTCAGTGGTTGTATGTATTTAAGAGACGGTGAGCTGACTCTCCGCACTCCCGACCGTACCACAGCATTTGGGGGCCTATATGTATAAAAGTTCCCATTGTCATCGATCTATTTATTACCTTGATCAAATATCATATTTTTAGAATTAGTGTTACCTAATTCATTGATTGATCACCGAAAATGTGCCATGGATCGACACTGAATTATGAGGACTTTATACCAGTTAATTGCCTAAGCTAAAATAAATATAGTCATATCCCAAACTTTAATCCAATAGTTGGGATCTATGTACGGTAAGCTAACGCTCTATGTTTAATGTCCAATACATTGACGACCCTAATTACACTAGTTAATTGCCTAAGCTAAAGTCAGTGTATCCATATCCCAACGTTTAATCCCAATTTAATCTTGAAGAAAATCTACTTATTTCTTTTCTTAATGTTGTTCTCTTTCATATAAAACTATTTTTACAGAGTATTTTAGAAAAATTACCTACAAACGCTGAACAAAGAGATTGTGGCTTACGCTTAGTTCAATATAAAGTTTTAAAAGAATTAGAATTGCTTAATCAAAAAGATTTTAGTCATGATCCTGAATTAACTGAAGATATTACATTCTTAAATGTAAGTTAATTCTTTCTTTCATTGTAAGATCTCATACTATCTTTGTTGTGATGGACTGATATGATGGAAAGAAAAGTCGATTTTCGATTGATTTACTGATTATGAGTTTTATTCAAGATTACTCTTGTTTTTGATTCAATGTGATGATCATTTAGTGAAGTATTTGCTTTCTTTTCTCGTATGATATTTTATTCAGTATAATATGCCAGGTATTCTTGTATTCAATGGACATGAACTATGCTCAGTATGTGATTTCATCCTAATTATTAATCAGAATGGGTGTACAATCAATATATAAATAAGTGTATTTCCTACTAGAATCATCATCGTCGTCGTGGTGGTTTGGGGTTAATAAATCATCACTTATACCAGTCTTGTGTTCTTACTTTCACGTCATAGGAATTGCAGAGGTCCCTCGTTCCAAGTATAAGTAATAAGCGTTTCCGACATAACAATCAGCGACGACCAGATACAAAAAGTAGTATTAAAAGAGCCAAGACAATAAGCATTTAAACGACAAGTTATAACACGAACGATGTCTACAATTTGATACTAATATATGGTGTGCTGTGTGCTAACACAGCCGACTACTTGAGTGGGAAATGTAGTGTCAGTCATTATTTTAAGCCCATATATCTTATTCTCGCTTTCGGACAGCCCAATCTATTCATTCTACTTGAGTCACATTTTGACCTTGTTAAATATTCGTTTATCAATCTTGACTGTCTTTATATGAGCGCATTTATGTGTGTACACTTATCCCATTACTCATCACATGTCTGTAACTTATTTTTGTATGCCTATAAATATTGATTAACGCTTGACTAAAAGAGGAGTTGGATTACCCGCCATCTCCTGCGCGTCGTTTCTCTTCTCTCTGTTCCATTCGCTTCATATACAAAATATATGTATCTAAAAGTCTATTCTCGTTTGTTGACTTATTTAATTCCGTTATTGACTAACACGATTTAAGTCGATGATTATACACGAGGATAAGCGACATATATGTTTCGACAACGATCATTCATGCGATCTACTTGGAGTCAGATCCCGGGCCACTAAAGTGGAGAGCCCTTTCAACAACATCGTCCGATCTGAATGACGACAAAATAACGGGCCCCACAGAAAGTGAATGTATTGGACTACCGAATAAAATGTACAAATACTTTAATCCTTAGGAAATTAAGCCATTTTTTAACCAAGGAAATGCACTTGTCCTTTAGGTCACTTCTGATCGGCTCTTCATATCAATCTTTGTTGGGTGTTTTCATGTCAAATGGTTTTAATATTTTTACTACTATTTGTATACCAACTATGTAGTTATATGCATACCTGGTTTTGGGGCGAAACCAAGGTGTGTTATTAGTCTATGAAGTCATGAACTGTTGAATTGGGCCATTTAGAATTAGGTTCATACTAACTGGTTAGTGTTCGTGTGAGACCGAAGTTCCTAGGTTCAAGCTCCGCGTACGTGATCGTGGATGCTCTTGGTGAGGATTCCTAATACTAGGACGAAATGATCATTCAGTCATGTTTACCCTAACCGGTGTAGGGGATGGTTGGAAGAAAGTTAGGGGCGGTCAAACCAAAACGTGGCATCAGTGCCTGAAGTCACTAACTTCTAGTCTGAGCCATGTTGGTAGATGCAGACTACTTGGTTGGGGTCCGCGTGACTTTCGTAACCAATGGTTGGAGACCCTTGGTGACATGGCTCAGAATCGATCACAATGGCGTCGGTGTATACACTCTCTGTCTTCTCTTAAACTAAGAGATTAAGATCACTTCACATCTTTCTTTCTACGAACTAATTCTTTCTTCCTATACTATATCCTTATTGCAATCTTTCTCCTATATATTACCACCTTTGACCTAACCACTCCTATGAATCCGGTGTTCATCTTGCTGTGTTAATGAGGTATGGCAACCTGGACCGATGCATACATGTGCCTGGTCCTACGTTGTAGCTGACTGACTGACATGTTTACCCTAAATTCTATGTTGTATATGATATACTACTACGCTTTATCTCTAAAATGTAATGTGTATTCCATGTACCTTGAGTTTCAGTTAGGTTTTTTGGCGTTTATTTACCTTCTTAATTACTGTTTTTTTGCAACAAAAAAATCAACTGTCATATCAACTTTTCATATTCTTACTAAACTTCACTTGTTCTTTTTTCAAGGAGAAATTATCGGCTAGTATTCAAGATGTAAGTAGTCTTGACGAATATATGGCTGAATTAAAATCTGGTCGATTAGAATGGTCACCTGTTCATAAATCAGAAAAGTTTTGGTATGAAAATGCAGTAAAATTTACAGATAATAATTATGAAATGTTAAAGTAAGTCTAAAAAAATAAAAAACGTTTGAAATAAAGCCTTTCTTACATCATTGTTCATTGGAAATAGATTCAATCCAATAATTAGGTAAACTTTATTAGATGAGATCATGAGTTAATTAAAGCTAGATCACCATAGAAAACCTGGAAGCACTGGATGGCGGTTTCGTCCCATTGTGGGACTCCTCAACAGTGCACATCCACAATCCTGCCTCGCGAGACTGGAACCCGGTACCTGTCAGTCTTGCGCGCGAGCGCTTAACCTCTAGACCACTGAGCCGGTATCCAACGGTGTTAATGTCTAACTTCAACCAATCCACGAAATTGAGCAACACATCCACCACTGTCTTCAGTGAGTAACTGCCTCATAACATACTCGGTTGAACTCCACTGATCACTGCTTCTCACTAGAACTCCAGGAAATACCTGTTAAAGCCAGTCACTAGTGAGCATATGTTGATTAATATCAGAAGGGGTTTTGTGTATATCATATTATAAATTTACTTGTGTTTATGAATTCTTTATTTGAATATTCTTTCTTGATTTTTCACCATTTAGAATGTTAGTACGACTAGTCGAACTGGGTACTGATCCATTAACATTATCTGTGGCTGTACATGATATTGGAGAGTTTGTAAGACATTATCCACGTGGTAAACAGTAAGTTCATTATTAAATATTGTTAGCGTTATTCTAACTTTAAATGTCAACTACTGGATTACAAATTCAAATTGTGTTCTATTGCAGTCAATAAGATAATCATGAACACACAATCATTGAGTCCAATACAAATGTTTAATAACTCAAGATGTTGTCTCATTACATTAGTACAACGAGGTATAAATTGACAAGATGCATAGTTCCGTATGTTTATTGTAGCTAGTGGCTAGAGACTTTGAATGGCATAACTCAAAATCGTTTTCAATGGCCCAAATGCATTCATTCTTTGTTCCCACCGCTAAATTCTAAGCTTCTGAATTCCTCATAACCTTTTGTTCTACTTTTTATCTCACTAATTTATATTTTTTCTTGAATCGTATGTTCGATGTCTGATCGTTTCTGTTACTACTGATACTGTTACTACCCATGCTATTCTGAGGTTTAACCTGTCAATCCCATCTCCCTGTACCAATAAGATGTGGAAACTTAAACCGATATACATACATACCAGGTTCTACCTCGCAACTGGCTAATAGGAATGGGATTGAAATCATAATAACAACATCACCGACTTTCGTAACCGATGGTTTGAGACTCTTGGTGACATGGCTCAGAATCGATCACAATGGTGTCTTCCCTTAAACTATGAGATTAAAGTTGCTTCATATCTTTCTTTCTACTAAATAATTCTTTCTTCCTGTACTGTATCCTTATATGCAATCTTTCTCCTATATATTACCACCTTTGACCTAACCACTCCTATGAATCCGGTGTTCATCTTGCTGTGCTAATGAGGTATGGCAACCTGGACCGATGCATATATGTGCCTAGTCCTACGTTGTAGCTGACTGACTGAATCATAGACGATATCATTTGTATTGATTGTTTAAATCTTCCCATTTGTGTTTAGGACTTCAATTAATTAGTCTCTCTTGACATATATGCATTCTGTGCAGATTACTCATAGACGATGTTATTTTGAAAAGACATCTATCCTTCCTTCATTCATTACAACAACTTACTCTTAGTTTATGTACACCATTTCCACACAAAATGATGATTAACCATTAGAAATTCAAGTCCTTCCACGAGCACGATATTTTCGAAATTATAAATCAACCAAATATTTAATTCTTAATTCAAGATTTCACATTGTTGAATACATCACAGAAACTATCGATCATTGGATCGGTATCACAAGATAAATGTACTCAATTTTCGACTTCATCTGTCGTATATTTCAACATTGTACGGAATTATTCATATACATTGATTTAGTAAATTTTAATGTAACTCTTGATGTCCAAATTGCAGTTTCCGGACTAAGTTAGACAGTCAGTCATAAGCAACATAGAACCTGGCAAACCAACTTATTACATCTCATCAACACGATAAGATGAAATTATAAAGGTTGAATATCAGTGTAGTTTTAGCAGCATCAGGAAAATTATACACAAACATAGAGGAACAAAAATCAAACCAATGGGAGATACAAACAAAACAAAAAAGTAAACAATTATAGGTTGAAAGTCAACAAGTACCAATCAACATCAAAGTCTACAGGACAAGCTGTGAATCACATATGGAGAAATTCGAACACTTCAATTCTACCTGAAGTTTGTGCTGATGATGTCGTTCAGAAGAACGATGAAGGCTTCATGAACAAACTATCCAGCTCAGAGAACAAAACTCCATCAAAATCACCCACATGAGCTACAAATCTTCTCCACCATCGCAGATGTCATTGACATAAGGCGGATTCGTCACTGGTGAACTTAATAATTTATTGATCCTATTACGTGGGGTTCAGTAAAAGTTGAATTCATAACTTTTTAAACATTGTTTTATACTTCTCACTTACCGATTTCATTCTTTTGATATGAACTATCTTCGAAATAATTGGTTCATCAGTTTGATTTGTATTATTATGAGTATCACTTCTTTGCTTTCTATCTTGACAATTACCCTCTTTTGTTGCTTGTATTGTGTTGATATGAATTTTGTGACTAAGGGCGAATTTTTCTCCATACCGTTAGGAGTATGAGGACAACTTTTTTCCGGTTGCCTACACCATGAAAGGATACTCCTAGAAAAGAAACCGGGTTAAGAGTGATCTTGGCAACCCAGGATCGTAACCTCAGTCTCTATGGAACAATTGCTTAATGCCGGTCACATACGGGCTTTTTTCAGGTAGTTTTAGCTCGTACCGCTGATGGCGTAAATCTGTTTGGTTAAGATGAGATATAAGATGTCTAAGGTCTACATTTTCTAATTGTTACCTTCCTTAGTGAAAAGGCAGCACTGCTACAAAAACTGGTCATCTAAGGGAAACACATTACTACTTCCATACGATTATACAGTCGACAAGACGACTTCTCCGTCGTACCTTAAGTCTGTCAATTCCATCTCATTACTTTCCAACCGACCTACCTGATACCTTTGAATCTGAAGGAACTGGTGTTCCAGCCAATATAACTCGACTGAATCATCACTGTAAGCAAACCCAACCACTACGTCAAGGTAGCAGCTACTCTGGAGGATATTAATCGTTTCATCATGTTTGTATTAGGAGTATTTACGTTCTTTACCAATGAATAATCATCCATTTACTTTAATAATTCATGTTTTTCCCCACTGATATTCATGTTAAACATTTATGTATCTCGTATTGTTTGTTCCTCTTTTTCTTTCCATTTGTAGAATAATTGAAACACTTGGCGGTAAACAGTTAGTAATGGCTTTACTACAGCATGATGATCCAAATGTTCGTTATAATGCACTAGTTTCATTACAAAAGATAATGGTACATAATTGGTAAGTATATAGAGAAGTAGATAGATATGTGTGTATATTCATTCAGTATTTGTTATGAATTGACATTCAGCCGTTTAATTCTAGTTAGAAGTATATCAATAGTGTACAACTCCCCCGGAGATCGAACCTCAAACTTTCAATTCTCAAGCGAACACGTTACCTCATGACCGACATCCTGAGACTGATACATAACCTATTGATCTTGTGATGTAATATCATGTTATTATTTGTTAAAATGAAGAAATCAAAAGCTTCCCAGTAAGACTTGCGACGATGGTGTGTGTAGGTGTTTGTTTTGTCAATCTATTACTAGTATGAAAAAAAAAGATAAACAATCAGTCATCATCAACATGATGCTTGACATAATTGTCCATCAGTCCAGTTAACGATACCACATCACCAAAACGAAATGGTGGAAATACTCGAAATAATAGTAGTATTAATTATAATCAGAGAAGCTAACTAGAGAAGAATACGATACGAAATGAATGGATAGATTCGAGGAATAAAAATTGTGACAAAGAAAGAGTGCATCATTGTGTACTATTGGTACCGATTCCGAATCATCTCACTCAATGTCTTCAACTATTAGTCACGACAACCGTGCGAATCCTAACTAAGTATTGTGCACTAACATGGCCAGTAACTTCGTACACTAATGCCACATGTTGACTTGACTGCTGCTACATTTTTTAAAACTCGCTCCGACACCAGCCAAGATTGCAAGTTTAGGTAACAGGAGGTGGTTAGGCATGTATAACTAACCACCTCAGTCAATGAAGATTTACCGTATATATCTAGTAAGCTTACTTTCATTTCGGCATTGCTTATTCAGTTGCTCCATTAAAAATGACGAAAACACCCATGACAAATTATTTGCAGACTACGTATTTCTCTTACTTCTATGTGCCTTGTTTTAAGCCATAAATTAGAATGATTGACCAGACAGAACATCAGTCTATGAAGTCATTGACTATTGGTCTAAACGTTGTTAGTAGGCTCGGACTACCTGTTTGGGAAACTGTGCGTTAATCACTATTGGTTTTTTGGAGATTGGGTGATATCACTCAGAACCGTTCACTGCAGTTCAGATACATTCATTCCTTGTCTTTCTTTTGATCTTGAAATCCAGTATTCCTTCATGCATAAGTTTTCATTTTGTCTTTTTGAACCATATTCTCAATATCGATTCTTTCTCATTATCGTTGCTATTACATAGTTCCAATCTCTTTTGCCGTTTACTTTGTTAATTTTATAACGTCATGTTAAGATAATCTGCAACTTGGACTGACATCTGTTCCAGTCTATAACTTGGTGATGACTGACTTTTAGTCATTGGTTTTCTCAATATTAATTTCATAAAATAATCCGTTATAAGACATTAAAAATGATGTGCAGGCAACAAAATAACTGTTTTATTCTAATATAGTACTCTTCAGTATTATGGTATTTGCCCCACTACCATACGGATGAAACCGGATATAGAATTACTGAGTCTCCTTTTTTTGGTGAACACATAATCTTAATAGTTAAATTCATGAGTCAATCTATGCTAGACAGCCATCGAAAACCTGGAAGCACTGAACGACTGTTTTATCCTAGTGTAGGACTCCTCCATGATCCTGCGCACAGTACTCGGACCATGACCTTCGGTCTCGCACACGAATGCTTAACCCTTAGACCACTGAGTCGGCATCAAACGATGTTAATGTCTAAATTCAATCAATCGATTATTGCTTATATTTTTACTTCCTCTACCACTATGGGATTTAAAACGACAATTGTGTCTTTGTGCTAATGTGGTATAGCAACTTGAACTGATGTACGTACGCACGAAGTTCTACGTTGTTGCTGACTGACTGATATATATCATCATATTTCCTAAAACTGTTTTATTTATTACAGGGAATATTTGGGTAAACAATTGGATTCAGTTCAAAGTACTGATGTGAAATCAACTGGAGTAAAAGTAAAGTAGTAGTGGATAGCAGTAGTATTATTAGTAGTAATGAGAAAAACTTTAAAAAAACATCTTTCAATTACCTTCAAATGATCTAATGAAACTTAATCAATAAGTGAGTGATTTTTCATGAACAATTAACAAAGAAACATACATATATATTTATCCATTTATTTTTCAATCAATCATTATTTACTGTTGTTACCAGGCTTCATTATTCTGGGTTTAGTGTTACTGTTTATCATCTGGTGTAATCAATCCTCCATAGTGATTCTTTCATTCTCTTTTATTTCAATTTATCAATGGGATTAAATATAAACAAAACAAACATGCATAATAATCAAATTTTCATTTTCTTGACTTTCTAGTATTGAACCTGTTTTTTCTTTGTTGTTCTTCTTGTGATAAATTTATTTCTGATATTTATTGATGTTTTAACCTGTGAACCTGTGTGCCCTGTTTATTGGATAACGCAACGATACCGCCAATTGGAGAGTAGTGAACGTGTAAAACACGTGCGAGCAGTCTAGACTCCTTATTGGTCCTGCTTCCCGCCTAGCACAGCCAGTTAAGTCCAGAACACCAATCTGAGCCTCTGCAATATGAATCCTTATATTTCAAACATACTGAGTTTATATGCCAATCAAACAGATCACAACGTACCATAAAATAGAAAATAACATTTGCACAATATTTGGCCAAAAGTGTCTGTAGATGAGGGAGATAGTAATTGATAGACAGGGCATAACTTAAGAATAGTCAGTCTTATGATAATAGTTCATAGGTCAAAATAAAGCTCACAATAAGAGGTCTGATCCAAAAGACAGTGGAGCATCGTAAGGAGATGCAGTCCTATGGTAGTCGGTAACCAGTAATAGGTTAATACACCATTTGTTCCCTTAAGATTATTGGTTTGGAATCAGGGTTTTCCAACTCTCCTAGGTGAATCGTCCATATCCACCGGCCCGGTTAAAACACCAAACGTGGTCTTTTCGTCCTCTCAATTTCGTAAACATCACCCCGTGGTGCGAGAAAGCTGACTGATTATACGCACGTGATTATATGAGAGCACTTGGAGAGTCAGAGCTGACTCTCGACCGTACTGTGGCATTTGAGGGCCCTTAATGTAGTTATGATCGAATTTAATTTAAATATACTTATCTTTTGACTAAGTAGCAATAAGGTTCTTTTCATTAAAATGATAATAAATCTCATTGTTAAAATGTCTTTTAGTGTGTGTAAATTTATTGACCTACGGACTAAACTCATTCTATATTCAGTTTGAATGAATCAATTCATTTAGATTGTTGATTACATAATCTTACTATTATGTTCTTATGATTGAAATCAAGAACATTTTCTAAATGTATTCACTCTATTTAAATAAAATGAATTATTCAAATGTAATTTTTTATAGAGATTTCAATAGTTTCGATTGTGTATGTATTCTGTGTACATTGTAACATAGTAGGAATCTTTATTATGGGTATACAATTGTATTTACTTTGAATGTGACTAACTTACAGATAGCAATACGATTGATTTTTGATCCAAATCATTCATGAACTATGTACGATGATAAGATCAAATGAGTTTGATTCTAGAGACTATAAATGCATCGTTTTTTTGCTTTTGTTTTCAATAAAAAATTAGAGAAAAGTTAAGTATTGTATGTAATGATCTGACAAGGTAGAGTTAGATGTAGCTGTCGTTGTCGACAGAGAGGAGAGGTGGAACGTCCGGAATATTGGGCGGAAATCAGAATGAGATTGTCGACAGAGTAATGAGGGTCAATGAGCCTGCAGGATTGACAACTCGACGAAGAGTGGGGTACAGACTGTGACGGAGAAAGAGGTACAGCGGCTAGAACGACTTATTAAAAGAAGGACGAGTATGGTATGTACAGACAAATATGAGTAGTATGTATCAGGAATCTAAATTAGAATTCCTAAGGACAGAAGGAGAAAATAAACTGAGGAGAAAGAGAAACAAAGAGTAATCGAAATAACAACTGGAATGGAAGACCGATAAAGCTGTAAGGGACGATTGAAGGAAGATATGCAAACAGTAAATTTGATATATAGTTTTCATATTATACAAATTCACTGTTTGATTTGCATACCACAATAAATTGGATTACTCTAACCAAGTCTTTATTCAGTTCAATAAAAATTAATTCAACAGCCAATATTTATCAAAAATACCTTTAATACAGACTTTTTGACACAATGTTCATTCACCAGCTACATACATATGAGCCACTCTTGCTCGGTTACTAAAACCGAAACAGGCAGGGGTGGGCTTCCGAATCTAGCCGAAAGTTGAGCATCCTAACCATTAAGCCACTGCTGATATAAATAAGAACGCAGCAACTATGTATAAATATATTATCTTGAAGTTAGGTCAAAAAATAGTACACTTCATAGAGCTGTAGTGAACGAGAACACAAGTGTAAACAACCGAATGTATTTGAATAAAAAATTACAGAATCATTTAGTAAAAATCTGAGAACCATACAGTGAACGATTCATTTGCAAAATGTTAATCAACCGTCTCAGAATTCATTTTCACCTCGTTTCCACGCCAATCATTCACTCTTCTCGTTTTCTTTCTTTTCTTTAATCTGTAGTGACCTGCTTTTACCAAGAGAACGCGATTGATTTAATGGAAACAACCATTATTATAACCAATTGTACCAGTGATTGTTTTACTGCGCTCGTCTGTTTAACTGTACTAAAGACAGTCATATTACCACTCCATTACTTTTCCGTGGATTGTGACCTCGTACGTTCGTACTCTTGCCCGCTGATTCCACTTGTACTCCTTTTGGCACGGTCTCGGTATTCGTTCGATACCACGAGATCGCCAACCAAATAAATCTGGTTAAGCTCCATCTTCGCCTTCTGATTTACTTGGCACGTGTTTCTTGGTAGCGGTGTTCATAGTCAATTTCGACCCGACACCACGCTACAATTGGTGACCCAAGTTCTGGAACACGCCTCAACCTCTGGTCAAATCTTCCAAACAAGCCAATTCGGTGAGTCTATAGTTTATCTATCCACGTCTGTCGTGTATTTTCATATTATCTTCTAATATTTAATATACACGACATGACGGATAGCGACAAGAATAGTATTATTATCATAGACTCAGACGTACAGGCCATCCACTTTCGACCTGTATCATTCATTCCCCACGACCTAGAGGTTTGGTTTGCTGCATTAGAGTCTCAGTTCGAGACTCGTCGCATTACGAGCCAAAGGTAAAAGTACGCATTCGCTCTCGAATCACTACCCGGGGACCATATAGTAGCTGTACGTGAGGTTGTCCTCAACTCCAATGTACTTAATGCTTACGATCGTCTCAAAGAGGCAATTCTCAGACATTTCCTCCCATCGAGGGAGGAACGATTGAGGACATTGTTAGCACGTCACCCCCTGGGTGATGCTGAACCAAGCCACCACCTCACGCACCTGCAATCTCTTGCAGGACCAAGAACAGCTGACTCGGAAATAGTCAAAGAATTGTGGCTCAAGTCATTACCGGCTCACATCCAACCTACCGTAACAGTCCTGCTCGAGGACGCACCACTTCATCAGGTAGCCCTCATAGCAGACAAAATTTTAGCGAGGACTGGTAACAGATACAGCTATATAGTTGCCTCAACGGCACGTCCCAAAGTAGGCATGGACGCCGGTAATTCCTCGGCTCAAGGTGATAGGGGCAGGTGTGTTCACACACATCTTAGTTTTCGAGACCGTCGTAACATATCTCAACCCTACGTCCTCCGAGCTCGTTCACGTTCCCTCAAAGCCGTCATCACTCGCCCAACCAGGGCATCTACCAAGCCACGCCGAAAGGCGGCTTCGGAAGCGAGTGAAGGCTGGTGCTGGTTCCATCGGGTCTGGCGCCCTCCATTGTCGAGCCCCGGGCTCATACAAGGCGGGAAACTCCAAAACCGGCGAGTGTAAGCGGTCGTACTCGCTGGCCCTTCCCCCCAGGTTGACCGTTTATTCTATGTGCACGATCACCGCACAAACGCTAGGTACCTAGTGGACACTGGGTTCCAACTTTCTGTCGTACCACGTGGTAACAGCAAGTCACAAGCCACAATGCTTCGACTACGCGCCGCGAATGACTCAACCATCCCTACCTACAGTACACGGCGACTCGCGGTCAACCTGGGCAATCGACGACGGTATCTGTGGACGTTCATCATTGCCGATGTTCCCACAGCCATACTAGATATTGATTTCCTACAGCAATATGAATTGCTAGTCGATTCACGTAGGCTCCAGCCAATCGATACTTCGTTGAACAGTAAATTCATGGGCTGCTAAGCCCACACGAACGCTTACCGAATCCAAGGCACCGTTATTCGCGTGACGATAAATTCCACGCTTTATTCGGGAAATTCCCCACATTAACTAAGCCACTCGAAGAGAGTCCATCGGTGACCAACCGTGTGGTACACCACATAGTCACCCGTGGACCACCTTGTGAGGATAAAGTGCGTGTAATAAGAGAGTACAACGTGCCGCCCTAACTCAGGGATTTCTCGGGTTGGTTAACTTCTACCGACGCTTCATCCCACACGCGGCAGAACGGTTACGACCATCAACCGACTTACTTCGCGGTAATCCACGCAAATTAGAATTGAACGATACCGCACGTACTTCATTTTCAGAGATCAAAACGGCCCTGGCTCAAGTTACACTCCTTGCGCATCCAAACCCATCAGCCACGCTTAGTCTAGCGGTTGATGCATCGAATTTTGCCATAGGAGCCGTTATGCAACAGGACATCTCCGGAAGCTGGCAACCTCTGGAATTTTTCTCACGACGCCTTACTCCCACGGAGACGAGATATAGCGCTTATGGTCGCGAGCCGCTAGCAGCCTACTGCGCCATCAAACATTTCCGGCACGCAGTAGAAGGACGTCAATTCATCTTATTCACCGACCACAAGCCCCTAGCGTATGCCTTGAATACCAAACCTGACCGCTACTCACCACGTTG